TCCAGATCTATCGTCTAATGCCCATCACTTCCGCCATTAGCAATATTAAAACACCATCTGATTATCTAATGACTTCATTTTCTAGCCCAAAACTTGTAACAACACTCTCTGGGCACCTTCTGGCAGGGCTTTCATGTTTCAACATATATTCTAACGGTTTCAATATTTATAAATCTATAGCACTATGATTAAAAGAAACCATGTGAATTTATCATCAACAAAAATTGAAGAAGAGAAAGCCAAGTACTGAAAATTCATCCTTTTCTCCCTGACTTCTCTTCTTTGTTTTTCAACCCAAGAGAAATGACTATTAATAACCAATTTTAGGGAGATCCAAAGTTTCCCCTTTTTCTAAAGTCCTGATTTCAAAAGTTCAGTCTTTTGAAGGATGTTGCTGATAACGAGAATGGATTAACTTTCTTAACAATCTTGTTCAGACCCCACTCAGGTGGGGAAGGCATTGTACTCTACTCAGGTTTGGGTGAGGATAAATTCTTTGAATAGAATGCCCAAGGGTGGGGGTGGTCTGAGTATAGGAACAGTCTCTCTTTGACATAATGTCACTCCAAGACCCTCACTGTGTAATATAGCCCAGCCTTTCACTGTAAAATTCATTTTCTCATTAATTTTTAACCAACCAGAGTTGATTGCCACTCTCAGGAACATTTACTCTTCCAAGAGCACATAAACTTTAAGCTACCACCATGAGGGATCATTGGTCTAAGACAGAGATGGCCAAATGACCATCCTTTTATTAATAAACATACTGGTATTATAGCCTCACCCAAATGGCAAAGGAGGTCCAAAAAACCAATGAGGAAAATGATGCCCTAAAAAGAAAAATTGGCCAAATGGAAAAGGAAGTCCAAAAGATTACTGAAGAAAATACTTCCTTAAAAATTAGAACAGAGCAACTGGAAGTTAATGACTTAATGAGAAATCAAGACACAGTAGAACAAATCCAAAAGAATGAAAAAATATAAGAGAATGTGAAATATCTCATTGGAAAAACAACTGACCTGGAAAACAGATCCAGGAGAGAGAATTTAAAAATTATTGGACTATCTGAAAGCCATGATCAAAAAAAGAGCCAGACATCATCTCTCAAGAAATTATCAAGGAAAACTGCCCTGATATAGTAGAACCAGAGGGCAAAATAGAAATTGAAAGAATCCACAGATCTCCTCCTGAAAGAGATCCCCAAAGGAAAACTCCTAGGAATATTGTAGCCAAATTCCAGAGTTCCCAGGTCAAGGAGAAAATATTGCAAGCAGGCAGAAAGAAACAATTCAAATATGGTGGAAACACAATCAGGATAACACAAGACTTAGCAGCTTGTACATTAACGGACCGCAGGGCATGGAATACAATATTCCGGAGGGCAAAGGAGATAGGATTATAAGCCAAGAATCACCTACCCAGCAAAACTGAGTATAATCCTTTGGGGGAAAAAATGGTCATTCACTGAAACAGAGGACTTTCAAGCATTCTTGATGAAAAGACCAGAGCTGAATAGAAAATTTGACTTTCAAATACAAGACTCAAGTGGAACATGAAGAGGTAAACAGGAAAGAGAAATCATAAGAGATTTATTAAGGTTGAACTGTTCACATTCCTGCATGGAAAGATGATATTTATAACTCATGAGACCTTTGTCAGTATTAGGGTAGTTGGAGGAAAAAAATTATATGTATGGATAGATAGATAGATAGATAGATAGATAGATAGATAGATAGACAGATAGATAGATAGATAGATAGATAGATAGATAGATAGAGGGCACAGGGTGAGTGGAAGATTAAGGGGTCATATCCAGAGAATAAAATTAAGGGATGACAGAGGATTATATCTGGAGAAGACAAAAGGGAGAGGTAGAATGGGGTAAATCATCTCACATAAAAAAAAACCCAAACAAAAAAGAAAATGCTCTTACAGTGGAGGGGAAATGGGGGAAGGTGAGAGGGAATGAGTGAATCTTATTCTCATAGGATTTGGCTGAAGGAGGGAATAACATAGACATTCAATTGGGTAAGGAAATCTGTCTTACCCTATGGGAAAATAGGGGGAGAAGAGGACAAGAGAACAGGGGGATGATAGAGAGGAAGGTAGATTGGGAAAGGGGGGGTAATCAGAAGCAAATACTTCTGAAGAGGGACAGGGTCAAAAGAAAGAATAGAATAAATGGGAGGGCAGGATAGGATTAAGGGAAACAGAGTTAGTTTTTTACAACATGTCTACTACAGAAGTGTTTTGCATAACTGCACACGTATAACCTATATTGAGTTGCTTGCCTTTTCGATCAGAGTGGGTGAGGCGGGAGGAAGGGAGAAGATTTGAAACCTAAAGTTTTTAAAACATATGTTTAAAAAAATGTTTTCACATGCTACTGGGAAATAAGGAAATACAGAAAATGGGGTACAGAAGTCTGTCCTGCCTTACAGGAAAACAGAAGGGGAAGGGGATAAGAGAAGGGGGGGAAGAGATGGAAGAGAGGGCAGACTAGGGGAAGGGATATTCAGAATGCATGCCATCTTGGGGTGGGGGAAGGGGGGAGATGGGTGAAAATTTGGAACTCAAAGTCTTGTGGAAGTAAATATTGAAAACTGAAAATAAATAAATTTATAAAAAAATAATTAAAAAATAAACGTACTGGTATTATGAATAAAATGATGAAAATACCCAGAATTATGTCTCTAGAACTTTTTAAAAGATCACAAACCACAGGATCACAGAGTTTAAAACTGAAAGAGATCTCAGCGATCATATAGTGCAAACCTTTTATTTTACTGATGAGACACTGAGCCCAGAGAAAACGGCTGACCCCAGGTCTTGTCTACAATGGAGGAGATTCAAACCCAGATCATTTTAATCCAATGCTGTTTCCACAAGGCAGCAGTACGTGTCACGGCTGTTCTTTCTGCGCGAGTCTTCCCCACACTTTTCATCACCTTTCAAATGCAGTGCCGTGTTTAATCTGACCAATGCAGCCTTGCAAAGCTGAAGAACCACCAAGTACCAAGGCCAGCCAAGAAAGGAGGATCCCCAAGTTCTATTCCTGTCCTTCCCCAACAAGCAAACCTCTTTTTGGAAGTGACAGCTACACAAGCCTGCACTACATGGTGAAAGAACAATCTTTATAGAGCGAAGAAAGTAAAATATATTATCATTATGAAAACTAAAATTCTTACCAAGGAAATTTAGTTCCTATGATTTTGGGGATTTAGGACCTAAACTAAAACACATACTTCTAGGATGGAGTTAAGGTTCATAACAGTCACTCAAACATGCCAACAATTTTTTGAGCTAATGATGATCATAATTAATAATAACTGATATTTATGTAGCACCTATTATGTAGCAGGCACCGTGCTAAGCACTTTACAATTATCTCATTCAATCCTCATAACAACCCTGGGATGTAGGTGCTATCATTATCCCTGCTTCACAGTCGAGGAAACTAAGGCAGAGAGAGGTTCAATGACTTGCTTGGGGTCACATGGTCTTCTTGACTCCAGGCCCAGCTCTCTATCCACCACACCACCTACCTAGTCATTTACAATGGGATCAGTGGCAATCTAGCTATCAAAGAAAGGAAAGGTTTTTTTCCTACAATCACTCCACTTTCTCACATTTCTGAGAACTAAACAATTAAGAAACCTTCAGCACACAAGGAGCAAAGAGCTCGGTTCTTTATAAACAGAACAAGTGGTTCATTTCAAGTATTCTGGAGGGGCTCTAGAAAGGTCTCCTACCGTCCCTTTGGCATACAAACCCACAAACAACCATGTGACAAGGGTGAAAGAGGACCCAATGTTCAATCCTGAAGGTCAGAATGGAACTACACCAAGTAGAAGCCTTAAACAAAAGAACTAGCCCAGAAGAAGAAAAAAAAAACACAGCAGCATGAAGAAATAAGTTTCTTTTTGCCAAAGGATATTTTCAGTATTTGCAGCAAGAAGAACAGACAACACATTATCTAGTGAGTTCTAATAAAAAAAAAACTTTTAAATCTCTGGAAAAACAGAGGTCATGGTTTCAAATTCTTGCTCTGTCCACTGATCTTGAGTAAATCACTTAGCCTATCTGGGTCTCAGTTTCTTTATCTGTAAAGTGAAGGGAATGGATTAGATCACTTCTCATGCCTCTCCTAGCTCTGAATCTATGATGCTTACTTAAGTATCTAAGTTATTAAAGAATTTGAAGGATAACATCGCTACAAGTGGATTGCTTAATAACTTGCCACTTCACATAGTATGTTAACCTGATCTTAGGCCTCTACATTATAGCTAACTTCTTCATAAACCCTTAGTCCTATTTTAGAATACAAGTGACACTGGCTTCTTGAAGGTCATACAAAGCAGAAAATGCTTTAAGTACAACCTCCATCCAAGACTGTTAATGAGTTCAAACAGGCTCATCGCCACAGGACCGACCATCTGTCTAAGACATGTTTTTAGCCACAGCAACAAAGGCTACTAAGACCCAGAAGCAGCTGCAGCCATCACTGGCGAAGAGCATACCCATGCTGAGGAAACCACGAATCTCTGGTGTGAAATACAACTATTTCGCTTGGGTGAGATCTAAGGATAAGGAACATGACAGGCCGGCTTCCAGTGCCTGATCTGTACACCGAGGGGGGGTGGGCTGGACAACCTCTGTGCTCCACTCAGCCTCTAAATCTATGATCCTATTTGTATCAGGAGTAAAAAAAACGGGCAAAGCGCCTGTTCCTGACTTTTTACCTTGACTTTAAGCTCAGCCCCCAAATTTTATAATTCCAAGACTCTAAAACTGCTATATGTTTGTGACATCTGAAAGATATCCTGAAATTTGTTCAGTCATCAATATTTTAAAACGAGATTTTACATAGAGAAGTCAGAATACTGATGGATAGGCCATATCCTACAATAAATATATAAATTCAAAAAGTCATACTTATTAGGAATAATCAGACATAGGTTTATACTACATTATAGACTTAATTATGTTCAAGGACGTACTTTCTAGTTCTTCCTTTTCAAATTTGGTATTGATGGTTGAACTGGTTTTTCCAAGATCCACAACTGCTTCTTCATCAGGACCCTAAAAACAAAAAGCAAATTATAGTCATTCATTCATCTATGTCAGGAGTGGGAGGAGGGAGCAGGAAGGGGGGAAGGAGTGTGGGTGTGTGGGTGGGTAGGTGTAGGGAAGTAGTAAGAAGGGACTATACCAATGTCCAAGGAACTGGAAATCCTGGGTTACTTAATTAAAATAGGGGATGCCAATCACATGAAAAATTAGGTATTACACACAGGTGGCATGCAATTCTGAAAATCTACAGTAGAAAACTATTTCTTTCACTAAAAGATTCCCCAAAGCTAAGCCAGTGAAATAAAAACTACCTGATTCTACTAAGGTGAAAAACTTCCAGGTCAGGCCTCAACGTCAGCTAAAACCCAGCTCAGCTAAGTTCTGTTCCAAGGTGCTCATCATCAGAAGGTTGGTTGCCAGGTAATTTTTTGGAGGGTTCAAGAGTTATATTAACTTATGAAACCACTAAGACATAGAGAAGTTCAATCATGACCTCCGTGGACAGAAAAAGTATCCAAACAATCAACATCACACTGCCAAAGGAAAGCATTAGGACAGAATTACTCACTTTCGCAAAGTAGCTAGGTCTTAAGCTAACAGTACAGGAAACTGGACCTAACCCAATGTTAACTGCAGGGAAAAGGTACAACTCGACTGAGAAGAGAAGAGAACTAGGAAAATACAGTAAAGGAAGAAAGCTGGGGTGGATATGTTCATGGGTAATTAGGCCTGCTCACAAGAGAACAGGTTATAAAAAGTGGAGGCTGGAGGAACCGAGGCAGCCGACGAGAGGGCATGTACAAGTATTTGCGAGAGATGCCTGGTCATGATATTCCCACCAGCACCAAAAAAGGGGATGGCCCTTACAGCATTTTGACCTCCTCCTTCTATAACCCAAACACCAACATGGAGACACTGGTCAAACTAAATGCTTCAACAAGGAGAAAGTGACAAAGGCTTCCAGTACATTGGGTAGGCCCCTATGGCAAATTTACGGAAAGCAGACGTGGATGGTGAACAACCTCTACCACTGAAGGGATTTTCTAAACCAAGGAGATCACAGATCCATCTGATATAATCAAATGCTTGGCTCATGAAGTGTCCCAAGTCATGCTGCAGTCATAGGCCACAACTACAGGAGTAGACACAGTTCTCTTGCTCAAATTCTTTTTTTCCCAACTTCTATTAAAACAGCCACACACTGAGAAATCACATTACCATGACTCAATATCTAATGCAGTTAATTAACCCAAAAGAGAATACCTTTAGAATTTGAAAAACAAAAAAAATGCTTTCTGGAAAGAAAGTTTTCTTCTACTATAAAAAAATTAACCAAATCAAAAAGAAGTAATTACATTTCTTAAGCTCTAGGGTCCAGTGTTAAAAGAGGCAGTGTAGCTCAGTGGGGAAAGCACTGGATTTGGAATAAAAGGGTCTAAGCTCAAAGTGAAGTTTGTCTCTAAATTCAAGACTCACCAAAAGCAAAAGATTTATTAAATAAAGGGGAAGGCTACCCAGCATACTAGGAGTATTCACTTTCTTAGAAAACAAAAAGGTTTCTACCAGAATTTAGTACATTAAAATCAAAGGTGAGGTGGGAGGAGTAGAAGAGCAATATAAGCTATCAAATTCTTTATTGGTCTTTTTGGCTACTTAAATCTTCTCATTCAAAGGTAATGCTAAACCCATCTGTACTAGATTGTGGTTAGAGAGAGTATTAAGTTGTCAAAAACAAGGCTTTGAAGTTAATACTTAAATATTTAAATATCTATGGGGATCGATATGGAGATATTGGCAAGAAATTTGTGCTTCTGTGACAGTCTCATTAAGCTGGCAACCTGAAACAATCACATAAAAGTGAAAGTTACATTTGCAAACAAACACTGGGGGATAAGACAAAACAAATCCTATCAAAATTAATGTATTTCTATGTTTCATTAATAGAGAACAGCAAAGATAAAAGAATAAGGACTTTAGAAATACAAATACATTATTAAAGATCATATTTAAATAACCAAATGCAATTATTTAAATGTTTTACTTTTCTTATGAAAGAAAGTCGGAGCTCAAAAATCAGAAGCATTACTGCTACTAAAAACTATGTACTTAGAACCTAGAGTTGTCATTCTCTTGCCATTTATGCTCAACAAAAGAAGTCAATATATTTTTGGTCAACTGAATCTCACCATACAGAAGGAAAAATAATGTGTATGCTCATATATGACTGCCTCTTCAAAAGGATCTGAAGGGGCTATAGGACATGTCAAAATTGTTGTTTATAGGCTACTTTAAAACATTTTTAATAAAGATGTTCTAGTGACTCATTATGAAAAGTCAATCAAATTTTGATGCTTTTGATGCAGAATAAATATGAAATCTGAAGCATCAAAATCCAACGTAATATAATGTCCACTATCAGCTACTCAGCTGTCTTCTGCACAACCCTCAATTTTGACTTGGGGCAAAGGGCAGGAGACCCTTCCAGCCTTCCACCTATGATACTAAGATTCTTCAAAAATTAAAGCATTCCATGATTGGGAGCCACAAAGCATCATCAGAACGGACTACAAATGTTTCAAAGACGGATTGTTGTTCTAGGGAAAGGATTGGAGACAAGTGCTGCACAATTTCACAAACGCAATCTGGTGCTCACTTCCTCCTACTATATCTAATTCTAGGATTAGGTCACTGTCCACCAAGATATTGGTACTAGACCAGCTCCATGGGCTCCCTCTCTATTTGTTTATCAACAACAGGCTTTCTTCATCTGCTTGGTTTTCCCTGTGTGGCGAGTTATGTAGAACTCTTCAGTAATTGTGGATTTTATTTAGGAGGCTATAAAATAGTTAAGGGCTTGCTACAATCTGCATAAGTCAACTGTAAACAGTATCTGCTGAGCCAATGACACTAAATATAATTTTATCTTCCTTTAGTAATTTAGAAAACACTTCCATTTTTATGGTACTCTACAGTCATCATTATAACCACTTATAACAGTTATAATAATCCATACACACAAGTAACTAGTGTAAAGAGATATGGTCCAGACCTTAGATCATGCTCAAACTTGCCACTGCTGGTGGATTACATGGAGGCTTGGTGAGCCTACTTCAGGTCAAGCCACCAGGGGACTGTGGCTGTATGGTGGAAGACAAATTTTCTGTTTGGCCAAGGAGCCAAAGGGAGCTCACATATAAGAAGATGCACACCCTCCACCCTAAGCTCTTTAGTACTTTTCTTCCCTGGCAATTCTTGGGCACAGATATCCGTAAGCCTTCCCAATACCTCTAACTCAAAGTGTTTGCTCCCCAAATCAATTCAATAAACGTTTCTTAAGCACTCTGTACATACAAGTCACTGTGCCATAGAAGAGTATTCATCTAATAGTCCCGGAGCACATCATCTGGATCTTTCCTTTGCCACTTTCACTTCCTATAAGTGCCAAGTCCTGGCTAGAGAGTAATTCATCTGAAAAAAGATCTTCAGGGCTTTAGTTGACTTTAAACTCAAAAGGAGTGAACAGAGTGACGCTAAAGCCAAAAGATTAGTTAACCTGGCCTTAGGCTACATTAGGAGAAGCAGAGGGTTCTAGGACTAGGAAGGAGCTGCTGCCCCAGCCCCACAGCTGTGCCCTCGTCAAACATCTAGAGTATAGCTCTCATACATGTTCTCCTTGACCCTTGAGGGCAGAACTACAAACAATTTATCAAAGTTAGAAAGAGGCAACTGCAGGCTTCCTGCCTCACCATCAGGGCTACCCAAAAAGAGAAGGAGTCCCCAGAAGGGAGCTCCTAGGGGTCGTTAGCTGAAGCCTGGGTTACTACTCAGGAATGGGGATTAGATAGACTTTGAGGGATCTTTGGAGTGGTGTCTTGCAAACTAGTAAGTATATTATTACTTGCCACCCTTGGCCTCCACTCCCAAGGTCCAGCAAAAAAGATACTTAAGGGGAAGGAATCTTTTGTCTTTATATCCCAAAAACCTAGGACTATCTTACGCAGAGTGTTTAATAAATGGTTGCTTAACTGAACTGTATGTACACTTTTTTAACCTTTTTTAAAAATCATTTATTGATTTCATTAAATATTTCCCAATTACACATAAAATAATTTTATCATTTTAAAAATTTTAAGTTCAAAATTCTCTCCCTCCCTCCTCTTCCTCCTCGAAAATGCAATTTGATATTGATTATACATGTGAAGCCATTCGAAACACATTTCCATATTAGCCATGTTGCACAAGAAAACCACCAAAATAAAATAATAAAAATAGAGAGAATTTTTAAAAGTATGCCTCAATTTGCTTTCAGAGCTCATCACTTTCTCTCTGGAGGTGGATAACATTTTTCATCACGAATCCTTTGGAACTATGTTGGATATTTAGCTTGCTCAGAGTAGCTAAGTCTTTCAGTCGGCTCATCCTTACAATACTGCTGGTACTATGCACAATATTCTAGTTCTACTCACTTCACTTTGTATCAGTTCATGTAAGAATTTTCAGGTTTTTCAGAATTCATCATTTCTCATAGCACAATAGTATTCAGTTATAATTATATATCATATATATATACACACACACATATACATACACACACACACATATACATATCAATCACTTCTTCATTTATTCTCCAATTGATGGGCATCCCCTCAACTTCCAATTCTTTACTAGCACAAAAAGTTTCTACAAATATTTTTGTAAATACAGGTCCCTGTCCCTTTTCTTTGATCTCTTTGAGATACAAACCTAGGAAGTGGTACTGCTGGGTCAAAGGGTATACACAATTTTATAGTCCTTTGGGGTATAGTTCCAAATTGTTCTCCAGCATGGTTAGGCTAATTCACATACAGTGCATTATTGTCAAAATTCTTCCAAATCCCCTTCAGCATTTGCCATTTTTCTGCCATGTTAGTCAATCCAATAGCTATAAGGTGGTATCTCAGAATTTTAATTTGCATTTCGCTAATCAGTAGTGACTGAGAGTAATTTTTTTTCTGTGACTATTGATA